CGAGCTCAGGGCGCAAGGCGGGAGAAGCCGCGCGCGCGCACGACGCCGCTCTGCGTCTGGAGCCGCGGGGCCTCGGCCTGGTCTCCGGAGCCAGAGGGGCAGGAATGACCGTCCGGGGGGCCCTCGGTCCGCGGAGCGCCCCGTCGGCTCACCGAGCCCGCTGCCCTAGGGGCGGCGTGGGCGGGGCAGCTGCCACTGACGCCCCTGTCTTGCAGGTCGTTGAGGCAGGAGCTGTCGGCCTGAACGCCATCTTCATCCTCCTCATGTCCCGCGTGTCCCAGGTCTCGGGGTCCATCCTGCCCCCACTCACGTCCCTCGTGGGGCCCTGGAAAGCTTCACCGGCCCCGGGCGGGGAGCCTGTGGAGGCCGCTGGGACAGGTAGGCCGAGGTGGGGAGTGGGCCAAAAGGCCCTGGCGGGGCCTGCCAGGAAGGCGGGCTGCACCCCCGCGGGAGGGGGTGCGCAGGGCAGGGCAGGGGTTGGCTCCAGGGAATGAGGTTGCCCAGAGATGCCTCGCGGTGCTCGCCCTCGGATCATCGCTGCGGGCAGCCCACCCTCCCGCAGGTCAAGGGCAGCCGGGCCCAGGGGGTGCCGGGGGCCCTCTTGCGGCAGCGCCGGCTTCCCTCTGTGCGTCTCCTGCAGGGTCGAGCTCGCTGATGACTCTGGCCAAGCCCTTCCAGAAGGCGGAGGCACTCCTGCGCCACTGCGTCAGCCCCAGCCTGTGGCTCTCCCCGCGCGCCCGCAAAGGTGCCTACGATGGCGAGGAGGAGGAGGAGGAGGACTCGCCCGGGGGCCTGGCCCGGCTGGCCCTGGTGGAGCACAGCTTCCTGGGGCTGAGCCGCTGCCTGTGCGTGCAGGAGAACCCGCGGACGGAGACCTTCCAGGGCCGCGTGCGCCCGGCCACCCCCGACACGGCCCAGGGCGCCTTCTCCTACCACGTGGCCCGCAGCAGCGTGGCTCGCCAGTGCGCCGCGCTCCACGCCTTGCTGCAGCACCGGCACCACCTACGCCTCTCCCGCCTCTACACCCTCCGCCTCAAGGCCGCCTCGGGCTTCGTGCGCCGCTTGGCCAGGGCCGAGCGCTGCCTCCCGCAGCCGGCCGACGGGTGCCACGTCAGCTGGGGCCGCGCGCTGCGGGGACTGTGCGAGGAGCTGCGCACCCACGCCTGCCACTGGGACGAGCTGCAGCGGTGCATCCGCGGCGACCCCTGGCTGCGGCCCGTGCTGCTTCAGCCACGGTGGCAGGAGGTGCTGCGGCACATGCGGCGGGCGCTCTCCTCGCTGGCCCTGCACGCGGCCTGGCTGCTGGAGCGCTGCGTGGAGGCCGCCCTGCGTGGCCTGGCCCGGGCCCCCCCCCGCGCAGGCCGCCCCGCTCACGGACTTCTTCCAGGGGCTGGAGATCTACAACCAGGTACTCCGTGGCCCAGCCGTGCAGCAGGCCCTTGCGGAACTGTGGCCCTCGCCCCGGCTGCTTGGCAGCCCCCACGCCTTCCCCGTGGAGCGAGTGCTGCGCATCTGGGCCACAGAGAGGGGCCGGCTGGCAGCCCAGCAGCTGCACTGGCTCCTGCGCCCACCACAGGCGGGGGAGCTTGCTGGGGTGCTGGGCCCGCCCCTCCAGGAGGGCGATGCCCAGCCCGGGCCCCCCCCCAGCCGGTCTCTCCACAGGGCTGCACTCCCTGTGCCAAGGGGAGGACGAGGCGGTGCTGCTCCTGCTGCAGGGACTGGTGGCCTCCACAGACACGCTTTGGCACCACGTCCTCCACCGGCCCCAGCAGGAGAAGCCGCCCGAGTACCTGAAGCCCGCCGAGGGGCCCGGCCCAGCCCCCCTCCCCAGCTGGAAGGCCGTGCGCTGGCTGGACGCCTCCTTTGCTGAGGCCGCGGCGGCGCTGTGCGCACAGTACCGCCCACTGCTCTGGAGCGCCACCGCCTCCGCCTTGGGCCACCTGCTGGAGCTCCACGCACCCGTGGCCGAGCCCCATGAGGGGCCGGGGGCCACTCCGGGCCTGTGGCTGGGCCGTGCGCTGGCTCAGGGTAAGCATGGCGGCCAGGAGTGTCGGCTTTCTGGGCGGGCTGTTGCGAGGCCTCTGGGGGGCAGTAGCAAGTGGGGGGGGCATACATGCAGGCCCCCCTTGGGTCAGCCTCTGGGGCCACTTGCTCCAGGTGGAGGATGGGAGGTGAGCGAGGGCAAGTGCCCCCTCCGCCTGCTGGCGGAGCGTTCTCCCGCTGGCGCTCGGTCCGAGGGAGCCATCGAGGGAGGCCAGCGGGAACGGGCACCCCAGTCTCCAGGCAGGGCCCCCTTGGGCTGGGCAGCTCCTGGGAGACTCCCTTCCACCCCAGAGCTGCCCCGCACCCTGGGGCCCGCTTCGGGGATGGCTTTGTGCTCGGGCGGGAGGACTCAGTCCCCCAAGAGGTGCCCATGCCTGCCTGTGTCCGCTTGCAGCCCGCATCCCCCCGGACGGCACCGAGGAGCTGCGGGGCCTGGCACGGCGCCTCCTCCTGCGCGACATCCAGTGCCGCTGGGACCAAGGTAGCCTGGGGGAGGTGTGATGGTGCCCACGGCCCCAGAGCTGCCGCCGAGCTGCAGCGCCTGCGACCCACGGGCTGTGGGGGTGGCGAGGGAGCTGCTGACCCTGGCCAGGTCCCGGCCTCTGCTGCAGAGTGGACTCGGGTGGCTCCCCACCCCCCCCCCCCCCCCCCCCTGCCTCCCCCTGCCAGGTTTCTGCCGCATGCTGGGCTCTAGCCTCGCTGACAAGTGCCTGCCCCGGCCCGCCATGGCCACGGACGCCGCCACGGCCTGCAGCCAGACAGCAGAGCTCCTGCGCAGCCTGTACCCACGCCTAGCCCGCGGCCTGTGGTGCCTGGACAAGCAGCCCGGCGGGTGCACAGGTGAGCAGGGGGGCCGCTGGCCCGAGGGGTGCGGGGCCAGCCGCCAAGGCCACTCACTGCCCGGACGGGCTTCCTTCCTTGCAGCCGGCCGCCTCAGAGCCGCGGGCCCCCGCCTGGAGCTGCTCACGCTCGTGGCCGCCACCAGCCAGCACGCCTGCTACTGGGCCATGAGCCGGGCCCACCAGTACCTGGCCTCCTGGTCGCTCGGCCAGTTCCTGCTCGTGACCCAGGGAGACCTGCAGGTGAGTGGAAGTCCCTGCGTGTGACCGCCCCCTCCCCTCCCCCACGCCCCCCACAGGCGGCAACTGGGCCACCACCGCAGCGTTGAAGCTGGCCCGGCCGGGGCACTGGGGGCCACCTGGAGTCCCGCAGGGCTCAGTGTGTGAGCAAGAGTGAGCTGCCCGGGATGGCCAGCCATGCCCTCGGCTGCCCCAAAGGGGGTGGGAGGCGGGGAAAGTGGCCCCCTGCGAGCCCCTCCCGACCTGGGCCCCGGGCGCTCCCCAGACCCTTAGAAAGCATCTCCCCACAGCTGCTGAAGGCTGAGGCAAGCGGGATCTCTGCCGCAGTTGCCACGGCCTTTCCCAGGGGCGGGGAGCTGCGCAGCCCCCTCGTGGCTCATCAGGAGCAGGAGCTGGGCCAGCACGTCCACTCCGCAGCCACCAGCCTCCAGGTGAGCACCAGCCCCCCGGGCGGCAGAGACCCTCCTCGTGGCCGCCTGGTGAGCAGAGAAGCAGTGGCCCGCCGGGTGGCTGGGCTGCAGCCGGACACCCATCCGGACGGACCTGGCGGGGCCTGTGGGCTGCTGCTGTCCGCCGTTGTGGGGCCTGTTCAGCGGTTATGGCCGATGATGCGGGCCTGTTGTGGCGGCGATGTGGCCTGTCGAGCGCCCCTTGGCCCTGCCCCCTCTGGCCAATGAAAGCCCCCCCCAGGTTACGTTCGGCTGGGTCCAGGGAGAGTAGGAGGCCGAAGTGCTGCCATGGGGAACCCCCCGCCCCCCAGACTGGCCAGGTGGCTGTTTGACAGCAGGCACCCAGCGGCAGGTCCCCTCTTGGAGGAGCCCCGTGCAGGCGTGTGGCAGGAGAGCCGCTGGCCCCTGGGGAGACTTGCGCTATCCAGAGCCACTGCGGCCTGGTGCTGGCCCTGCTTAGCCCTGTGGCCCCGGGTGGATGCGTTTAGCAAGGGGGCAGCGGAGCCCCACTAATCCTGGTGCATCTCTCTGCAGCCTCCGTTGCCATCTACCTGGGCATCCTCCTGGAGAGGGAGGGTTCGCGGGGGCCAGTTGCAGGGGCTCTGGTCTCCCCTGTAGGGCTGATTTCGGAGAGTCACATGGGTGACCGTAGCTCAGCTCCGTGACAATTGGCCTGTGGGATCCCACAGGCAGCCAGCTCGTCCCCGCTGCCGCCTGACACCTGTACAAGGCCGCTGGGAGCAGGCGCTCGGGACCCTGGGGCAGGAGGCCACGTGTGTGCTGCTGGCCCTGCGCTCTGCCCCCGTGACCGGTTGGCCAGCCGAGGCCGCACAAGTCTCGGCCTGGAGCCCGGGTGACGGCCCATAAACCGAAGCAGCCTCCTGTCCAGACGGATGCCTCATGCTCTGAGCCAGGTGGATTGGGTCCCAGGAGCCTTCGCTTCAGCGCAGAGCAAGCCAGTGCCCCCGCCTCAGAAACGTGGCCAGCCACGGAGGATTTGCGGCTGGAGAAACCCCCAGCCGGGCCCCTCCATGTGCGAGCCCCCTGTGTCTCCTCTCTTCTGCAGCGGTTTGCCGACGACGTGCTGGAACTTTTCTCCTCGGACTGCAAGCGCATGTCTGCGGAGGTTTTTGGGCAGACCATGCCGCTCGGCAAGCAGTGGCGCCTCGCTCTCCAGACAGGTCTGCCTGCCAGCTGAAAGGGGCCGCAGCAGCTGCAGGGCCCACACGTGGCTGTGGGGGGTTGCTCGTTTGCGCAGCCGGCACCTGGGCTGGCTCAGGCAGGCAGCTCCCTCAGGCGCCGGGGCCTCTCTGTCCCAGCCTCGGAGCAACCTGGGGAGCTCTCTGCCCCGAAGCACAGCCCTGGGAGCCTCCTGGGGAGGCAGGGGCCACCTGCCAGACCGGAGGAAGCCTCGGAGGGGAGGGCAGCTCCCGTGGCTCCCCCTCGGGGCCCTGGAGGGAGGGTGCAGGGCAGTGGGGCCCCTCTGCTCCCACCCAGTCGCAGGCTCCCCTGTTGTTGCCCCCGCAGAGCTGCCCGCCTCGCCCAGCGAGTACGCCTTGGCGGCCGTCCAGTCTGTCCTGGGCCAGGTGCTGCAGGGCATCCAGCTCCTGCCCCGAGACGCCCAGGGGCTGGCCCTCAGCCAGGCCACCACGGCCTTCCTGGAAGCCTGGATGGACCACATCCTGGCCCAGAAAATCAAGTTCAGGTGAGCCGCCGGGGGACAGGAGCGGGCCTGTGCAAACCAGCACCCCACCAGAGCAGGGCCTTGCAGCCAAGGGCCCTGGCCCCCCCAGCCCCCCACTGCAGCAGAGCAGCAGGTCCCGTGCGGCCCCCACTGACGGGCGGCTCTTCCCGTCCCGCGCAGCCTCCAGGGCGCCCTTCAGCTGCAGCAGGACTTCAACCTGGTCCGGGAGTTGCTGCAGGCCGAGGACTCGGGGCTCTCGCCGGAGATCAGGCAGCTGGTGTGCTCCCTCCCCGTCTTCCAGCAGGCGGACAGCGCCGTCGCCTGCCTCCTGCAACAGCCCAGCAAGGGCTCTCTGCCCTTGCACACCTGGGACGCCTTCCACACGTGCTGTGAGTGCCGCGGGGCCCGGGCTGGTGCAGCGGGGAGCTTGGAGGGGCGGGCTGGCAGGCGGGCTGTCCACAGCGGCACATGCAGCGTGGCCCGGGCTGGAACCGGCCAGCGTTGCCGCCTCTGGCCTCTCCCTGAGGTTCCCCGGGGCTGGAGCTGTCCTCTGGGGCGGGGGACCTTGTCCCGGCCCCTCCCAGCGGCTGGGGGTCTTCCCTGAGCGTGCGCCCGGTCTCTGCAGGCTCCTCAGACGGGATCCGCACCCCGGACGGCGGCCCAGGAAGCCTCAACAGCTTGGAGAGCCTGGAAGCGCTGCCCGGCCAGGCAAGGGTTGCTCTGGAGAGCCACGCACAGGGGGCCGGCTGCAGCCCTGCCGCCTACCTCAGCCCCACACAGCAGGAGTGGCTGGCGCTGCGGCTGCACGGGGGCCGCCGGTGGAAAGTGCCTGCCCTCCCCTGCATGAGCCGGACTGCCGAGCCCTGAGAGGGCCGCCCTGGCCTGCAGCTGCCGGAGCCCGGCCCGCCAGGGCCCGCTCCCCACACGCATCGGGTCGCCCTCTCCTCCAGTGCCTCTGCCAGCGTGTGCCTTGTTCCTCTGGGCTGGCCTGCCTTCCACACCTGGCCCCAGGGCAGGGACCACCCTGTGAGCCAGCAAGTCCTGTGGGCTTCCGCACCAGGGCCTCGTGGCCGCCTCCGGGCAGCCATAAAGAAGAGACGTTGGGCCGGCTTTTCCGTGGCTCTGCAGGCCCTCTAGGCATAGTCTTCGGAAGTGGCTTCAGGCTGACGGGAGTAGCTGCCAGATGAGCCAAGCATCCGCTGTGCAGCTGCCGCCAAAGCAACAAGCCACCTTGCAGGGTGTGGCAGGGCCACTGCTCTGTGCCACGGGGCAGCTCGTGAGTGCCCACCCCCATTCACTGTTTCGTACTTAAATTCACACTCCCCAAGCGACCCTCACACTGTAGCCAGGAACTCCCTGTTTGCGTTTAGGAATAAATGCAATTTAACAGAATTACTCTGCTCTGCATCGAAGACCCCGATTCAGAGTGTGCCATTCCATGAAACAAGCCTCCAAGTCTCCACTCATGCAGAGCTCTTCATAAACCAATAACATCCCCAAAACCAAGTAAAACTGGTTTTCTTTATTTAGTAGGTTCATACAGGGCTTACAATATGTGCAAGCATTAGCATAATCTACCAAGAAGATTCAGATGATGCAAGAAATGCAAAAACTTTTCTCTGGACCTTTTAAAAAAACATTAAAGCCACAAACTCGCACCCCCAGGTTCTCTAGCCTATATTCTAGAAAATCCTGAAGTGTCACGTTGGAGGCCTCTCACTAAGTCTTTGAGAAAACCTCCCAGGTGGACAGTCGGAATGCTGTGGACACCATCTTGACTTCTAGTACTTGGCGAGTACCCCGAAAGGGAGAAGTAAGAGGTTAGGGGCTGATGGGCTGGAGCGCTGCACTCTAAACAACAGAGGGAATTTACTAGGGAGGAAGGCTGTGTTCTGCTCCTAAGGAAAAAAAAAACTGAACGCACTGTTACAGGATGGGGAGCACTTGGCTCAGCTAAACTGGAAGTGAAAAAGCATGGGATTGTTAGTCACCAAGGTGATGTGGGGACAAAAAAGGCAGATGCCATCAGGGTGCATTGCTATAGGTATCGGTCCCAAATCACGTGACGTGCCGGTTCCCCTCCACTCAGCACTAGTTTGCCCCCCACCCCTCGGAGTGCCGTGTGCAGTTCTGGGCACCACCGTTTAAGAAAGCTGCGGACAACCTGGAAAGAGTTAGGATGACAAACTGGAAGAACTGAGCATGTTCGGCCTCAAGACGACAGGGAAATATGGAAGCACTCTTAAAGCGCCTGAAAGGCTGCCATGAAGAGGAAGGAGGGCGTCTTTGTCACCCCAGAGCACAGGACAGTGACGGGCTCAGGTTAGGTGGCAGAAAGCCAGATTCCGAGTAGACGGCAGGAACATTTTCCAGACTTGCAGTATGACCAAGGAACAACTTCCCTGGAGAGGTGGCGGGCTCCCCCACTCAGAGTGCAGCTGGACAAAGGGCTGCGAGGGACACTTTAGTCCGGAGTCCTGTGCGGAGCAGGGGGTGGGCCCTCTGCAGCTCTGATCCTACAAGGCGGCTTGTGGCAACCCGTCCGGCTGCAGCTGCATCTGAGGCGCTGCCACAAGGGAACGGCCAGTGTGGTGAAATGCTCGGTGGCAGTGCGGGACGCTCTTCATGGTCCCTGCGCTTGTGCAGGTTGTGCCTGTCTGTTGCCGCCGCCAGGCTTCCTTCAGCTGCCAAGTGGGGCTGCACTTCAGCACCGACAGGTGGCTTGAAGGAGGCCTGCAGGTGCCCCCTTGTTCAGCCCCTGGAAGGGTCAGGAAGGCACAATGCCTGAAGCGCCGGAGAGCCACCGGTGCACTGGGGGCCGACAACGCAAAGAACGCTGTGGGAGCAGCCGCGAGGAGCGCGAGGCTGAGAAGAGGCTCGGGGCCGAGGGGCTGCCTCTGGCGGACGGGCAACACTCGACTGGTTGCTTCCAACCCCTTCGCCGGCACCAGGAAGGCAGCTGGCACAAAGTGGGCCGCAGTGGCGCGAGTGACGCGCAGCTTCTTGCCACCTTCCGGATCCACCTGTGAATGGATCACGCTGCCTCGGGCACACGGCCGCCGCGGGTTGTGGATGCACGCATGGCGCTCCTTCCATTGCATTCCTCGGCCGACCACTCGCGTTTTTCTTCCCCGCCCGTGTCTTCACGTGTGGGGCAACCTGGGGGTGCCATCGCATGCGCGCGAGGAAGGTCGCGCCTGCCCGTGCCCGCGGGGGGGCAAACATTGCGCCCCCCACGTGCCGCAAAGCGCCAAGCAAGCGCGGGACGCTGCCAGGCCCCGAGAAACCCTCCGGTTCGTTGCGGCCGGGCCGGCGCTCGCTTTACCGAAGAGCGCCAGGCGCATCCTGGGGGGGGGGGCGCGCCCGCGCCTAGACTTTCCCCACCAGCCTTTCTTAAGCCGCAGGTCCGGCGATGCTGGAGGAGGCGCCGGTTCCCCCTCCCCCCCCGCCCGCCCCAGGCGGAGAGAACCGAGGCTCCGTCGAGGCGCCGAGCTCGCATGGCCCTGCCCGCCACCCGCCGCAGGACGCGGCCTGCCCGGCCGCCCCCACACGCAGCCAGCGGCCCGCCGCACGGCGCGCCCGGCGTGCAGACGACGCCAGCGAGCGGCTCCGGCCGGGCGCACGCGTCGACCCCCCCGCCGCGCGACCCGTGGGCGCGCCCGCTCCGCGGAGGCCAGGGAGCCCCGAGGACGCCGCGGCCTGCCCCGCGGGAGAAGCTACACACCTCCGGGCGCC